CCGCAAACTTATCCGCCCCCCAGGCCCGAGAGCCAGTCACCCACTGACACGGCCACAACGCGCTCCCGCAAGCCAAGTGCCCCATCGCCTGTGAGTCCCGACTGCACACCTGCTGGTGTTTACTAAGTGTGCTAAAGGCAGGTGCCGGCTCCGTCCGCGCGTGAAAAGTGACACGTGGGGGGTGACAGCTTCCCCTCAAACTGCGGACCACGTGGAGCTGCGTCCCACCGTCTTCGCTGGGGGTGGGGTCACTCCGTGCCTCCTCCACACCGTGGCAAAGGGCCCTCGACGTCAAGTCTTCCCCCGAGTCCATCCAGACCTGTGGTCGGGTCTCTGGGGACTCGGCTGGACACTCGCTCCCCCGAGGGTCCCCGTGACTCGGGCCATCCCCGCCTGCATTTCTCTGTCCACTGACGTGTGATGCCCAGTTGCTCTCAGAAATCCCTAAACCACTGGGCTCAGGTTTTGGTAACGCTCATTAAAGCAGCAGCATCCCTTCCAGCAGACGGGCGATGACCAAGTGGGGTTTGCAGAGGAAACGAGCCATTTTCTCAGACATCCATCACGGACCCCCGTCCCACCCGCTTGGCGTCATGGGACGGCCGTCAGGCACACACACCCATCAACACACACATTGCACGACAAAGTCACACTGACTTGTGGGGGCAGGAGCACGACCACGGATTCGTAGACTCTCAAGGGGCTCTGGGGATCGACACAGTCTTGGCCACAAAAATCCTTTCTTTGGACAAAATCCTACCCAGGACCCCAAACAGTGACTGAGCAAGGGAAGCTCAGTGGGTTAAACCAGCGCGTGGACGGCGGTTTGCTGGGGCCCCGCGGCCTCCCGCCCCCGTAGAGCAGAGCTCTGGAAGCCCAGGGCTCTTTGAAGTACCTGAAACCAGGTCTGACATCCCACGGCATGAGTGGTGGGTGCAGGACACACTGCCCCAAACACGACACCTCGGCCGAAGGTGTCTCCAACCTTTCCACCCCCTTCTCCCCGAAGCAGGCCTGAGACCCTCGTGGGAGCTGTGCCCGCCCTGTACCCGGTTTGCTGCAGACCCACCTCGGGTCCCCACGCCCCCCGGCCCTCCCCACCAACCCATCAGAAGGCGGCCGGTCTGCCCACGTCTGCGGGCTTCACCCCCTCACGTGTCCCGTGAAACTCAGATTAAATAAAGGTGCTGCTTCGCTCCTGTTTTCTGTCTTCATCAGTTTACCTTTTGGAGCCGAGGACCCTCAACGGGTCCAGGAAAACCTCCTCCTCTCTCTTCCAGAACCTGCATGGAGGCCTGTCCCCTCCTGCCTGACTCTGCCCGGGAGGCAGCCCGTCCGGGGCTGAGCGGGGCGTCTGCACCGGGAACGCGCTGCTTCTGGGTTTCCCTGTTGAAGCCCCGAGCCTCCCGCGGCTGCACTGAGACTCCTGCTGAAACGTGGGCAGGTTCATCGTTAATCATACCGCGTTTATCACACTATCGAGAACTTAGGAAGTTATGACTTATTTCAGATACACCTTGGAAGCCACACTCATGGAAATGCTCGCCTGGGGACAATCATCTATTTTTCTGCCAAATATTTGCGTTTTTCTTGGTAATATCATAATCTCCCTTTGGAAGAAACATGACTTTATTCATCTGAAAAAATGTGAATACTTTCAAGATATCAGAAATTAGATTTTGAAACACGTCAAAATACTACCAATCTATCAGGAACGTGTGTGTCTACTGTAGCCTTTCATTTCCTTTAAATTTTGTTTTGAGATGTTTCCATTTGGCTTAAAAGGTTTTAATTCCGCTATCTGTCATCACATGTGGAATCACAAGCACCAGGGAGACACGCGGTAAATGCTGCTAGATTTCGAGGAATCAAACTCTGCTTTACTTTCCAGAGTCAGGAATTAGCAGAGACGTTCATATCAAATACGTTCCAAAGAAAACCAGAAGCGTCAAAGTCAGGCTCAACACTGCAGGAGGCAACTAACGTGAGAAAAGGAGGTATTGGCAGCTTTTTAACAATGTCTCTGCTCCCGCTTTCACGATCCAAAACTCACTCCAAATATACGAACGCTCCTTCCCTCCGTCCAGACTGGAGACCAGTCAGGCAAAGCTGCATGAATGTGGGTTCTGGGCTTGAGAACCCATCAGAATGACCCCAGACAACTTCAAAAGTGACAGCAGAACTGCCTTTTGAAATGGAAAACTGCCACGTGGAAGAGGACAGGAGACTGGAGAGCTGGTCTGCGTGGACCAAGGAAACCCCTGGGGCCCTAAGAAGGCAAAGGCGGCTCAGGGAGAACTAGGGTGGACAAGCTTCTCACCCACGTTTCCATCGGTGAATGAAGTACCAATAAATGGTCTGGGAGGTGGCCGTTTTCTGCCCCCAGGGAGGGTGAGGTCAGGCTCTGGCCACTTGGGGACCAGAGAGGACGCGGGTCAGACTCGATGAAAATGCAGGAGTGGCGCAGCGGGGATTCTGCTCTGCCCTGTGCCCACCGCCCGCCTCCCGCCCCCAGTCTAGCCGGGACCTCCTGCTCCCACGTGAGACGGGCACCTGGAACAGGCAGAGGACGTCCCTCTGAGGTTAGGTTGTCATCTTCACAGACAAGCCGAGAGCAACCCAGGCTCCCAGTTCCTGGACAGCACGTCACCAGCTTCCACTACTGGGCCGAGGAGCCGCGGCAGAGCCAGGTGGTGGCGGGACGTTAGGAACCCTGCTTTGCCTGGGCTCGGGGAATGCGTCACAGGTCTCCAAGGACAAAAAGGCAGGGGCTGGCGGCTGTGCGCGCCTGGAACACAGCGACTGGGCCCGGCTGCAGGTAGACTCTGGGGTCATCCCCATACAAACAATATAAAGCCCATGGCCTCAGGGAGACGCAGATCCCACAGAAAGAGGCGCTCAGAGCAGCCGGTCTTCAGAAGGTGAGTCAGCAACGCTCAGGACAGTGACCACTGCAGATGGGCCGACAGCTGAGGTTCTGGGGCTGCAGACGGTGGACCGTCCAGTGGACAGTGGGGACCAGGCCTGGCCGGGTGTCAGGAGCAAACAGGTGCTGATGTGTCCGCACGATACAGACACACGTGAGGGTAGCTTGTGTTGAAGGAGACGGGGAGCCAGTGGGAGGCAAAAGCGCTGACGTGGTGAGACCAGCGTCCCGGGAGCTCTTACTTTAGTGAATCAGAAAACACCGGAGCATATCTGTGTGCTGACCGGATGGGGCCAGGGAGATGGAGCAGTGGCGACGCAGGAGAGGGGACGAGAGGACAGGAAGGAGGCCGTGGGGGGGCACCGTGCCCGGAGGGAGGGGGTGTGGGCTCCCCGAGGGAGGCGCGGGTCTCCGCGCAGGGATGCAGGCGGCAGGTCACAGATGGGGCGGCCGTGTGTGTGTGCGCTGGGCGCTGCCTGCTGGGCGCGAGGAGGGTGGTGGGCGGTGAGCATCCTCTGGGATCTGTGCCTGTGACCTCTAGTGAGATGAGTCTGCAAAGTCCTAGCACACCGCCGCCACCCTCCCCGCTGCCCAGGAACCGCAACCACGGGGTGGGTGGAGGACCGGGCGGCTCCAGGCACCTCCCAGCCCCCGGCTCTGCACCTTGCCCCCCTGGCCCTGCATGCTCCCTGCTCCAGGGCGGCCCAGCCCGCCTCTATGGAACACACTTCCTGCCCCCCGCACAGGGAGGGGTTAGGGTTAGGCCCAGCGCCTGAGCTTCCTCTGACCCCAGAACACCAAGGGCCCCAACCCGAGTCAGTCTGGACTTGCCCCCGGCCGCTGGGCACCAGGGCTGCTCCTGAAGGAGGGACACCTGCGGAGGCCAAGGGACGAGGCGGAGGGGAGGGGCTGCGGGTCAGAACCTTCCGTCGCGGGCCCGGATCCTCCAAGCCCTCTGGCCCTTCCCGCCAGTAGTCACTGCACCCCATGTGGTACAGATGGTCTTAGGGACCCACAGACTCCCGGCGCCCCCCTCCCCCTCCCTGGCCGCCAAAGTTACTGTGAGTTTCGGGAGAAAAGACCAGGGTGTCCTCAGCTGTCAAAGCCTCATCAACCCAGCCCCACGCTCTGATGAGTCTGCGGTCACCGAGCTGCCCGCTGCGTGCCGGGAACACGGTGACTTCAAGGCCAGCGCCCCCGGCGAGGCGCCCCCGGCGAGGCGCCCGCCCACTGCCTGCAGCGCTGGAGGCTCCGTCTGCGGAGGACCAGGCACTAAACAAGTTCTTATTCCAGGAGCCGGGACCGTGCCGGCCGAGCGGAGCCCCCGCCAAAGGCAGCGGCTGGCCTTGGAGTGGCTCGTGGGGGCATCTCCGCCCTGGGCGAGGAGCGTTGTCGTAAGTAAGTGCCCTTACTAGTTAATTACCGTCACGGCGGGCGCCGTGACATCTGGGATTTCAGACGCGCGAGCACAGACAGCCACCCCCGAGAGGAGTCGCGTCCGCCGCTGTGCGTACAACTCATCAATTGCCCACGATGTGGGGCTCCGGCGTCCGCCAGGGCCTGGGGCTGAGTGCCAGCGGCTCTAATTGCGGATGGAGAGTTTGGTCAAGTACCTGCTTCTGAGGCCAGCGCAGCGACGCTGGGACACGACGCCTCTGAGGGTCATTAAATCTATCAGCAGTCCTCCTCTCATTCCCCACCCCATACGCGTCTTTAGCAAGGAAGACGAAAGCGTGCCCACCAGACCCAGAGGAAAGAGCAACTTCTTTTGCTATACAGACTCGGCAACTGAGAATCGTCTGGAGCGGGAAGCACACGTTTCCGAAGCATCCAACGTTTTCTTAGCCATGACCGCTTTTTCTGGGGAGACACCGAATCACGATTTCAAAGGCAACCAAGCAGTGTCAGGCGAGCCTGGCGTGGCGCGTCAGCACCTCTGCCGACGGGACGGGAGGACTAACCCGGCCCAGACGCCGGGGCCGCCGCTACCACAGCCCCCCGCCTGGTGCCGACTGGCCTCTGCCCCCGGCCCGAGCCTCAGGCCGCCCGGGCCACACTGCCCGCAGCTACTCACCGAGCCGACGCCGGTCCGAAGAACTCTCAGTCCAGACATTTTTTCCAGTTGGTCCTTGTTGTCAACTGTTAGGGGAAATTAAGAAGTAAGCGGTCAGCTTGGAGAGGCAAGCGTTCTCCAGACACCCTGAGCGTCCCCCTCTGCAGACACTTCCATAGTCACTGCCAGATCGCCGTTTTAACGGGTGCTGTGGACAAGCCTGGGGCGGAAACCGGGGCAGGGGGCTCCCCACCGAGGGGCCGGCAGATGTAGGACCAGGACGTGGGTCCCTCCAGCTTTGCCCACAGAACGTCCATAGGAAATTCACAGTATCCTTGTGAAGACTGGTTGAGAAATGGTGGGCAGACCTGCTTTGCAAACTGTAGAGCTTTACTTTCGAACGATATGATGGTTACAAGTGTATAATCATTGGGAACTGGGTTCCATTCACACGCATTCCGCGTTCACAAGATAGACTGGCTAGCAGGCAAGACTGAACGGCGCCTTCGTTCCGTGAGTCCTGGGAGCTGCTGTACCCCTCTTACTCCTGCCCCAGGAGAATATCCTATAATAATTTGCCTCCACCACAATCAACCCTCATCCTAGTTTGCTCCTGACTTAGAGCGAGGAGGACTCTCCGAGAATAAATTACCCTCCGTGTCAGACCAAGCGGGTTGAGCCCCGGAAACGATTAGCAGCCGGAGAGGAAGCCCAGTTAATCCCGATGCCAGCACGGCAACCCGCGGTCCCCACCTCTTGGAGAGGAAGCCCAGCTAATCCCGACGCCAGCACGGCAACCCGCGGTCCCCACCTCTTGGAGAGGAGGTGTGTCACAAAGCAATTGACCCTGGCTTAGGATTCTGTAGAAGTATTCTTTCGGATAAAGCCCCTGTCATTTTGGAAATGAAACCCAGAAAAAAATAGATTTTATTGCAAACCCTAAGAAGGAAGAGTGCATTGCAACTGTGATTAATGCAGAACGAGATAGCAGGAAAATAGCAATTACTTTCACCTCTTATTGTAAAACACCTACGTTAGTCTTGGGTAATGAAATTATATCTTTCAGAGGGATACAACCCGGATCCTGCTATGGCCTGCCTCCCCTGCCTCTGGGCCTCTCTCATCGTCTGGTAGAAAGTTTTCCTATTTCTTACATTTAGGTAATTATGCAAGCACTGGGGCTGGGGGTGGGGCAGAGCCAACCTGGGGTTAGACAGAGCGCCAGCACTTTAAGAGCCCCTAAGCTGGGGGGTGCCGAGGGGCAGGGAGGGCCAGTGGCCCAAAGGTAAACCTTGAATGGAGGAGAATATTCTTAAGAGATAGAGTATAAAGCAATTGATTTTCATGTTCCCCTGTGAACAAAGGAGGCGTTTTGCTGGATGACAGGCTCCTTGGGGATAATAGTGAGCCTTTAATAGGCAGAGGGACACAAAGCACAAAGTAAAGATGGAAATTAAAGGGCTCCGCCATTGCTGCGAGAAGCGACAGGCATTCCAGGCTCAGGAAGCAACAAACCAGCTGGGCAGTAAGACGCAGATGACCCAGTCCAGGGGTCAGCGAAGCTGCTGGGAAGGCCAGGTGGAGACACCTGAGGCTCGGCCGCCATGGGTCCCCAACCGGGCGGGCAGTGTGACGGCTGCGGGGACGGGCCTGAGGGACAAGGGACAGGTCCTGACTGTGTCCTGCACAAGCCCGCGGAGCCCCGAGGTGACTGTGGGCCTCGCTCGCTGCCCGAAGACCCACGCCCGCTCCCGACGCTGTGCAGAAGGTCCTGTGCCTGGGCCCTGTCCCCGTCCCACACGTGGCGGGACAGTCAGCCTCAGCACAGCTCCCCTGTGTCCCCCAGGCACCCCTGCCACAGGCCAGTCCAGGGTCCGGGCGGGCTCCTCGCCCCAGGCCCTGGCAGCCGCTTCCCCGCCAGACATGCCCCCAACCTCTCCCCTCTGTGAACACGGCTCCGGCCCCCAGTGGGGTGCGGAGGGGGAGGGGAGCCGCACGGCCCGGTAGTGGTGAAAGGTACAGGCGCCTGGCTGGGTGTCGAGGCCTCTTGTCTTTAACGTAATTAACTGCAAGTGTGTAAAACTTTATTTTTCCTAATGGCTGTGTTTAATAACCGGCTCAGAAAATTCCTGAAAAAGTAAAGACGAGCTCCAGTAACCGGTCCAGCTGGCTCCGGCCCCATCCGTACAGTACTTTGTTTCTACCCAAAGTCTAGGTCTTAACATGTCACGTTTCCTCGATTCTAAAATGCGTGTTTCCCCGCATCTGAACACGTCTGCAGTCGGGCTGCTCCAGCCACCCTCGTGGGAACGGGGCCCACTATTGACCGACCTCAGCTCATGGCCTCAGAGGCTGTGGAGGAAAGACACGCGTCCTCGTTTCTACCAGAAAATTTCCCACGGGCACCTCCGACAAGGCAGAAACTTCTAGAAGGGGCATCATCTGCTTGGAAGGTCACCCCGGAGCCTACCTGAGCAACGTTCCTGATGGCAGCATCATCCTCGGAAAACCATGGGCGTCGCCTTGGAAAGTGATGTCATTTCACCCTCATGGTGACCCGTCCCCAAGTGCGGCCACTGCGGACCCTCCGGGCTGACCGCCTCTCAGGGTCCACGTCCTGCCTGAGGGTCCAGCCAGGGAGCCCAGGGACCCAGACTCGTGCTGACAAGGGGTTGCGTCCATTTAGGGTTTGTCACTGAGAACTGACACAGCACTCCACGGAACTGTCCCTGAGAAATGAGAACCCTGGGGTGGATGGGACAGACGTGCTGGAGGTGCGTCCTGCGGGCAGTCGGAGCGTCCGGGATCCACTGGAAAGTGGCCCGGACGTGACCTCGTCCCTCCAGCATCAGCACGAGGGATCGCTGTCTTCCCGGCCGTTCCATTAACCGCTACGGGAGTCCCAGGAGTGTCACCTGTTCCGCAGGTGTGATAGATCAGGTGGGGCAGGCGGCCCATCACTGTCACCTAGGTCAGGACGCCACGTCTGTCCCCGCTCTGCTCCATCCGATCCTATTATGTTCCTCACGTGACGCAGGGTGTTAACCACCCCTCCCCAAAGTGGACCTCCTCCAAATAACTGCACGCGTGGGCGCTCACACACGGGCACACACACACAACAAGGGCAGACCCAGGAGCGGCACCCTGCGGGGAGGACCGGTCACCACTGTTCAGCTTTACATTAACCCACAGGTTCTGTTCTATAGAGGCTGTTGTTCAGCAAGTGGCGAATCTGCCCCCAAAACCCCACTTTGTCCACGTTTCCTTGTATTTTCCAAGGACAGCATGAGCCTCTGCATCTCGCTGCGGCTGTCCCCACCAGGGGCTGTTTACACGAGGAGCCTCTGCCGTGATGCCCATGGCACCTCCTAACAACGCGAGCCGGAACCGTGAAGCATGCCCCCTTTGCATCCACCTCTAGTCCACCTCCATCCTCGTCCAGAGAGCGACAGTGCCCCGAGGGCCTGCCTGGAGCTGGGGTCCTCCGAGAACCCACCCAGGGCCCCCATCTTCCTGCCCTCAGCTGAGAAATGCCCACAGAGACGGCTGATGCGGTTTCCAGTCACACCTGCAAGTCCCCTTGGCGGCTGGCACACGCGCGTCCGTGGGACTTCAACCCACTGCTCGTGGTTTCGTGCTCTTTTGCGAACCTCTTAGTCTTGGGCATCAAGTCCTTTCAACAAAGCCTGTCTCGCTCTTTATGTAAGTTTTTCGTTCTCTGAAATTTCTCATTGGTGGGGATGGTAGCCAGAGACACTGTAATGGTGCCTTTTCTCCAGCATGTGTGAAAGGTACACAATTTATCTTAAGCACAGCCCTTTGGGGTTTTTTTGTTTGTTTATCTATATTTATTTATTTTAGCTCAAATTGACCTAAAGGAGCAACAAGCCCAGTAGTCTTGAGCACATTTTGTAACTCTCAGGCCATTCCGGAACCTTCCCCAGCATCATTCTTACACATTCACCATTGTGTATATTTCCTCTGAGACTTCCCTGCACAGCTGCATGGACTTCCTCTCACCCATCCCTTCTGCTCAGTGGGACTGGATCTCATACGTTCGTACGTGGTCTCCCTCACCCGGATGTACGCCGTGACCTCCATCAGGCATTCAGACTTGGTTCACGGGCACCAGCCCCCATGCTCCCCTCCCGGCCAGCAACCACTCCTCTCTGGAAACACGTTCAACTGCAGCATCACCCTCCACCGGGGCGTGAAACTCACTGCCACTTTTTCAGGCTTTGCTGAGGCCTCTGAGAGGAAAAGAAAAGCTCTGCTGTGGCTACATGTTCTGTCGAATGTGGGCTCCAAGTTATTTCATGGCCAAATGCAGACCCGGAGCTGGTGGGCGTGAGCCACCAGCAGGCCAGGACTGAGAGACCCCAGGAGGAGCTGCTTTAATAAAGGCGAGAACAATGCTAAAGCCCATTCTTATCTTCGCGGGAGACAAAAAGGGTTTCCAAACACAAAAAGAAGTCCTTTAAAATTAAATTCACTAGATGAAGGATATGCAAATTAGCCGGAGGAGCAGAACCCTACAATGTTCTCAAGATTCTGCAATAGCCTATTTAATTAGTATTTTAATTTATCAGAGTAATTCTTTGCACTTGACAATTTATGCAGCATTCCATGTAATTTAAACACGTAGCTACAGTGGAATAATTTTGCCTCTTTCTTTATCCTCGTGATTTTAACCTGAAAGGGTGTGCAGAAGTCTCTTCTGTGATCTAAATTGCTACAGGGACAACTTAACGGCCGTGGCCCGTTAGAAAGCCCGAGGGCGGGGAGCGGGGGTGCAGGAGGTGGGCAGACACCAGGGGGCTGGGGTCCTTGGGGAAAGGGTGGAGCCGGCTTCTGGCACAGCCAAAAGCACTGCTCCTGGGGTTACCGATCTGCATCCCCTGCGCATTTCCACCCCGAGACACATGCATCCGCTCTGCACCTGGTCCCACCCAGAGGCGTCTGCAGAAGTGGACAGTCTAGACCGTTCGGGGGCCAGCCACTGACTGGACCCACTGTCCCCCACGCCCTGGGATCAGCCTTATTGAAATCGCACGGCCTCCGGTCACCAGCCCGGGAAGTGACTCGA